ATAATTCCAAACTCATATCATTTGCTGATACCTTGTTGATATCTACTTACTAAAATAGCTAAATTTTTTCCGGACGATCGAGCGGCCCCATACAGTCCGTAATGCTAGACGATCGAGCGGCTCCATACCGTCCCTAATGCTGGACGATCAAGCGGCTCCATACTTCCGTAATGCCGGACGATCGAGCGGCTCCATACGTACAGTCCGTAATGCTGGACGATCGAGCGGCTCCATACAGTCCGTAATGCTGGACGATCGAGCAGTTCTATACAGTCCGTAATGCTGGACGATCGAGCAGTTCCATACAGTCCGTAATGCTGGACGATCGAGCAGTTCCATACCGTCCGTAATGCTGGACGATCGAGCAGTTCCATACAGTCCGTAATGCTGGACGATCAAACGGCTTTATATATTCCGTTGCCCAATGCAGACAGAAGGACTTGGTCAGGTCCAGGAACCTTGTTTGGGAAACTGCGTTACGTTTCACTAATTGGGCTAAATTGGGAGAGATGAAACCCACCGTCCAAAACAGCAGGGCGACAGAACCGTGTCATTCTGGTTCCAACTCAATTTATATCAAATTTCATTTTAATTGCTTCGAAGTAACACTACTACGAAGATGGAAATGAATTCATCATTTCATTCTTCCAACTCGTTACATTTTCTAACTTAATGTCGGTCGAACTATTGTGAAATTGTCAGGGAGGGGAAAAAGTTAAAAAAATATAACTCAGTACTCACTGCAGTGAGTGACAGAGAGCGCATTTTGTCGCCGACGAAAACTTGAGGTCACGGACGGGCGGACAGACGGACGGACAGACGGACTGACAGACGGACAGACAGACGGACATGGCGAGCACAATAGTACATTTTTTCCATAAATGAGAAAATGCGCTAAAAATGCTGTGAATCTGAGGTTTTCAAAAATCCGTAGGTTTTAGTGGTTCCAAGGATTCATTGCAAAATGTTCGAAGTTATTCTAAGAACACACTCATAAAAATGAATGGGTCGTATTGTTCCAATAATGACAATATTTTATCCGCAGTACAACCGAGAGCTCAATAGTGCCGATACGCCCTTTTGCCATGTCTATAACTAGTCCAGGATAAATGCAGAAGAGCGACAAGTGCATCGATATTTTGACAAAACCACCCATATTTTCTGGGTGCATTTCTCATTAAGCGTCACACCTACTCATTTCTTTGCAGGTATGATGGCTTGTGGAATATTTAATGGATTTTATCCATAGCAGTACAGTTATTTAATATAGCTTCTACTGCGGGTGGCATAAACCTGCGCAAATTTCACGATATATCATTAGAGATAAGATCAGCAGGTCAAATTGACAACATTTTAGATCTCATTAAAAGGTTACAAGATTGATATCGCCAATAAATTTTTCAGTAAAATTTTAACGTAAATGTATCATAGAATATTGAAAATTTACATATGAATTCTTCCGAACATTATTAAACCAAATTAATTTTTGCCGCTCCTACCCAATGGTTTCGTCTATTCACGAAGGACGCTGAATTTACATATGAAACAAAAAGTTAATCGATTTTGTGAATGAGTTCCGTAGTTTTAAAGCGGGTTAAAGTTTTAATGCAGTCCGGTCTTTTATACAGACTCGAACGGGAATCGAAATACAATTTCCACGCCAAAAGTTTCTTTTTCTCATAAAGGTTCTGCTGTGTCAATGGAGGAAATTCAGTCATTTTGAGTACCTCGTCCATGTTCTGTTGTGCACTTCGGGATTGCTAATTTTTATCATAAAAATGAATTTGGTTGTGGACTTTGGCTCGTGCAGAGGAGCGGACGAAGCTTGTGTGTGACAAGCAGTTAAGCCCTCATAATTACGACAGTAGTTTGCTGTAAAAAGTTTGATGCTAATTTCATGCGATTTGCTGTACTTTTCAGTCAAGGGCTCGAGCTCCTGGCTTCTAACACCTACACACTCATTGACAAATATTGACAATTTTACCTGTAAGACATAAGCACATACATAAAATTAGACGAATAATTTAATTGTTTCATTTTATATATTTGGATTGTTACTGATCAATATTAACAATCCAAATTTTGTTCAAACTTTGAAACGGGAGTTAAATAGGACTGCCATGTTAAATAGGGGCTGGTACTCGACTTTTTCGCATTGAGTTTTTTTTTTCACGGCAATTAGCCAGCGTATTCGGATTCATAGATTTTGTATGATGGAATTAGGAATAACTGAATTCAATATGACAGTATTCTCAAACCTCACGGATTCTCTACTCTGTGTATGGCCAGGTTGAACGTATGGTAGTGTATAAAAGTTATTTTAATGAATTAATTGTGAACCACTCACTAACCTCGCGATTCTATTTGCCAACAGTGACGGAGTTCTATCAAAGGAGGTGACCTGTGATAGAATTTCTAATAGGCGACGACTTTATCCTTGCCACTGAAATCAGTTCAACCGCAGAAAATATCAGCGACCGTGGAAAGAAAATCTCGTTTGAAATTGAGGTACGCAGTTCTGAAGAGATTGCTGCTCCACAAATGGCTTTAATGGAGGTTACAATTTTTGAAGAGAAATTTTTAATGCGTCGCCAGAATTTCAGCGTTGGAAGATCTTGAGTTCTATCACGAATTTCAAAGAATTTCTGTTATTGAAAACTAATTTACCCAGCGAAGTAATTCTATGATGCACTATTGAAGGTAGGATTCACATGCAAGCTTCAAGTTTATTTTGTGGACGCTAATTGCATTTAATATAATAATCACCATTATCATTTAATATAATAATCAAACGCTAAATACATTTTATATAATATTCATTTCAAAAAATAATCATTAGTGCATCCCAGTTGCACTAATGATTTAATCATGCTTGGACGATTCATATAATCTACCTTACTTATCTGTGATTTTTATATCATTTTATACCTATTTGATTTTTACTCATGTCTTATTTTCGTACATTATTAGCAGTGTAAAGAGCAACACGTGCAAGCGATAAAACATGGGGAGATACTGCATTTTTTCCTGTACATTATATTTAATATATCCTGCAGTTGGATCATGAGCCCAGTAACTGGATCATGAGGCCAGTAACTGGATCACGAGCCCATTAACTGAATCATGAGCCCAGTAACTGAATCATGAGCCCAGTAGCTGGACCACGAGCCCAGTAGCTGGACCACGAGCCCAGTAGCTGGACCACGAGCCCAGTAACTGGATCATGAGTCCAGTAACTGGATCATGAGGCCAGTAACTGGATCATGAGTCCAGTAACTGGATCATGAGCCCAGTAACTGGATCACGAGCCCAGTAACCTAATCATGAGCCCAGTAACTGGATCATGAGGCCAGTGACTGGATCATGAGCCCAGTAACTGGATCATGAGCCCAGTAACTGGATCATGAGCCCAGTAACTGGATTATGAGCCCAGTAAATGGATCATGAGCCCAGTAACCTAATCATGAGCCCAGTAGCTGGACCACGAGCCCAGTAACTGGATCATGAGCCCAGTAACTGGATCATGAGGCCAGTGACTGGATCATGAGCCCAGTAAATGGATCATGAGCCCAGTAACTGAATCATGAGCCCATGCAGTAACTGGATCATGAGCCCAGTAACTGAATCATGAGCCCATGCAGTAACTGGATCATGAGCCTAGTAACTGGGCCATGAGCCCAGTAACTGGATCATGAGCCCATGAGCCCGCTGAATTATTATTCCAGTATCTGGAAATACTTCAATGAAAATTGCATGCTATGGACGCAAGATGGAATAAGTTCAGAGCCTGAGCTTGAGGCTGATATCAGCTTTCGATAGCAAATCAAACAAGCAGGTTTCTTCTCCTCCAATACTTGTGCGAAGTTATGCAATTGTGAGGAGAATGTACACTGAAAGGCTTTTCAATAAATAGTTATTTTTGTACATCAAGTTGCATGAAAATAGTTATCACACGTTTTCATGCAGATCGAGTTGGAGGACTAGAGATATACTACTTAATTTTGCTATCTGTCAAGTAACATTACCTTTAATTTACAATTATTTTCCCGCGGCACATTTGCGAATTTTTCTTAATATATCAACGTATGAAACGCGCGCTCATCACGAAAACGGGTTTAGTTCTAAATATTTACACATTCATATCATTCATCAGGACCAGTAAAATTTTTCAGGGATCGATTTCGTTTAGTTTAATAACAGATTTCCGATTAGGTAAATAACAGAGAGTATGTGAACGCATAAATGAATCTCATTAAAAAGGAAACATTGAGACCTCAGACCAATTAAAAATGCTGTAGCTTACTTATTGAATTAACGTGCAGTAGCTTTGCCGCACTTCAATTTCAAACTTCCAAAAGTAATATTTTTCTAATAAGAAATTCGATCAAATCTTCCTACGAACGGAATTTTCAACTAACGTTTCAACTTGGTTTTCGGCGCGATTTCATTAGCAGTGAAACGCCAGTGATTCCCAGTGGGAATAGCTAAGCAGATGAATCCATTAAAATTCTATTTGGCGTCAATTTAAACTCAATTGGAAGTTGAGGCTCTTTCAGGCAAAGTTGCCAACCGCAGCTAATTTCATGCCGAGCGTTGCAGGCTTCGTTACAGACACAGCACGGCAATCGATGGATGACGTCGAGGGTGCGGGTTGTCTAGGGATACATTAACACGTCGAACCACCCACCAGGGTTGCCAAATGGCTCAAAAAACAGCCAAATTTGAGGACAAAAAGGCCATATAGGCCTAAAATTCAATATTTACTGGTAAATTTGTAAGTTATGAAGACAAAATTCAATTTTACTTCTTTTTGTACATTATAAAATACAAGGAGAAAGCACCGCTGTTATAAATTTTTGCCGGTCGGTCAATGTAATTGTAAAAACTAAAGTACGGAATTAGGCCGAAAAAAGACCATCTAGCCACACTGCAACAATGGAGGATCTCACTCAAAGTGTGAACCGTCTTCAATTAATGCTATTAAACCTTAAGGGCTGGTAATGGAATTTGCCAGGACAATTCATACTGCCAGCCTACCAGCCTGCCAGCTCACCAGCCTGCCAGCCTGCCAGCCTGCCAGCCTGTCAGCCTGTCAGCCTGTCAGCCTGTCAGCCTGTCAGCCTGTCAGCCTGTCAGCCTGTCAGCCTGTCAGCCTGTCAGCCTGTCAGCCTGTCAGCCTTCCAGCCTGCCAGCCCACTAGCCTGTCAGCCTGTCAGCCTGCCAGCCTGTCAGCCTGCCTGCCTGCCAGCCTGCCAGCCTGCCAGCTCACCAGCCTGCCAGAAGCCTGCCAGCCCACTAGCCTGTCAGCCTGTCAGCCTGCCAGCCTGTCAGCCTGCCTGCCTGCCAGCCTGCCAGCCTGCCAGCCTGCCAGCCTGCCAGCCTGCCAGCCTGCCAGCCTGCCAGCCTATCAGCCCATCAGCCCATCAGCCTGTCAGCCTGCCTGCCTGCCAGCCTGCCAGCCCACTAGCCTGTCAGTCTGTCAGCCTGCCTGCCTGCCAGCCTGCCAGCCCACTAGCCTGTCAGTCTGTCAGCCTGCCAGCCTGTCAGCCCACCAGCCCATCAGCCCATCAGCCCACCAGCCCTTCAGCCTGCCAGCCCACCAGCCTGCCAGCCCACCAGCCTGCCATAAACCAGCCTGCCTCCTTTCACAGTCACGGCGCTCACAGCAGCGGTAAGGGCGTATTTCGTCTCCTCCAATAACACGGATTAAAAAGCACGCATCAGAGGACGGATGGTAATAACGGACGGCGGTGACAGCTGCCGCCATGAGGGATTACGTCGCTACCTGAAATAACCATGATTGCGTATTAGCGTCCTCGGTTATAGCACCAGGATTGTGTGGATCAATATGATATACAAGTCATATATATGATAGCAACGATATGGATACGATTTCTACGTCTTCTTTATGATATCAAAGTCATTCGTTTGCTATCAACGGCATATATATGGTATCAAAGTCATATATATGATTTCTACCTTATATATGATACCGAGGGCGTCTGGATATATACCTTATATATGATGGATGGCGTCTTATATATGATACCACGTCACAATATGCGTCTGGATAAATCCACCTCATTCATTCTGTCTAATGTCTAAATTATCTGTTTGTGTTGTTTATTCTATTTTTATATATTATCTATATTTTTATTATGTTATGTTTATTCACGCATCAATATAAGATATAGATAATATATAATCAATGATATTATTACTTTTAAAAATGCACTTTATATAATATACTTATATACTATATATAATAATGTTTACTATACCATTTAATATAAATATTCAAGATTACATATATGATTTATGTACAAACAAATTCGGCACTGAAATGTCTTCAAAGGTTTACATTTTTGCATTAAATATAGTCTTCAGATTATTTTCGTACTTGTTCAACGATTTCTTCGAATAAAACTTTAATGTATAACGCAATAATAAAATTTCCTTACAGTGATTAAAAATTTTCAAACAGTCACATTCTACAATATTTAATAGATTGTTTAAGTAACATCGCTGCTTGAAGACCACATTCGAAGTTTTGTATAAAATTTCAAAAGTAAAGTCGAGTTCAGTTCTTTCACGTTCGAGGTTTACAATTAAATGAAAGTTGGATGATTACTTTCGGAACAATATAAATTTAAAGTTGAATATTAAAACATCATAATGTCGCTGTTCAGTTTGATTTCAAGACATTATTATGCTGCTCAGGTTATACTTGCTATACAGTTAGTGCAGTCGAAGTTATAGCTGCTATGCAGTTAGAGCAGCTAAAGCTATACCAGCTAGGCAGTTAAAGCTATACCTGCTAGGCAGTTAGGGCAGTTAAAGCTATACCAGCTAGGCAGTTAAAGCTATACCTGCTAGGCAGTTAGGGCAGTTAAAGCTATACCTGCTAGGCAGTTAGGGCAGTTAAAGCTATACCTGCTAGGCAGTTAGGGTAGTTAAAGCTACACCTGCTAGGCAGTTAGAGCAGTTAAAGCTATACCTGCTAGGCAGTTAGGGCAGTTAAAGCTATACCGGCTAGGCAGTTAGGGCAGTTGAAGCTATACCCTGTCTCTTATACACATCTAGATGTGTATAAGAGACAGAGCTATACCTGCTAGGCAGTTAGGGCAGTTAAAGCTTTACCTGCAAGGCAGTTAGGGCAGTTAAAGCTATACCTGCTAGGCAGTTAGGGCAGTTAAGCTATACATCCTAGACAGTTAGGGCAGTTAAAGCTATACCTGCTAGGCAGTTAGGGCAGTTAAGCTAAACCTGCTAGGCAGTTAGGGCAGTTAAAGCTCTGTCTCTTATACACATCTAGATGTGTATAAGAGACAGAGTTAAAGCTATACCTGCTAGGCAGTTAGGGCAGTTAAAGCTATACCTGCTAGGCAGTTAGGGCAGTTAAAGCTATACCTGTCTCTTATACACATCTAGATGTGTATAAGAGACAGAATTAAAGCTATACCTGCTAGGCAATTAGGGCAATTAAAGCTATACCTGCTAGGCAGTTAGGGCAGTTAAAGCTATACCTGCAAGGCAGTTAGAGCAGTTAAATCTATGCCTGCTAGGCAGTTAGGGCAGTTAAAGCTATACCTGCTAGGCAGTTAGGGCAGTTAAAGCTATACCTGCTAGGCAGTTAGGGCAGTTAAGCTATACCTCCTAGACAGTTAGGGCAGTTAAAGCTATACCTGCTAGGCAGCTGTCTCTTATACACATCTAGATGTGTATAAGAGACAGGTTAAAGCTATACCTGCTAGGCAGTTAAGGCAGTTAAAGCTATACCTGCTAGGCAGTTAAGGCAGTTAAAGCTATACCTGTCTCTTATACACATCTAGATGTGTATAAGAGACAGAGCTATACCTGCTAGGCAGTTAAAGCTATACCTGCTAGGCAGTTAAAGCCTGTCTCTTATACACATCTAGATGTGTATAAGAGACAGAAGCTATACCTGCTAGGCAGTTAAAGCTATACCTGCTAGGCAGTTAGGGTAGGTAAAGCTATACCGGCTAGGCAGTTAGGGTAGTTAAAGCTATACCCTGTCTCTTATACACATCTAGATGTGTATAAGAGACAGGTTAAAGCTATACCTGCTAGGCAGTTAAAGCTATACCTGCTAGGCCTGTCTCTTATACACATCTAGATGTGTATAAGAGACAGCAGTTAGGGCAGTTAAAGCTATACCTGCTAGGCAGTTAGGGCAGTTAAAGCTATACCTGCTAGGCAGTTAAGGTAGTTAAAGCTATACCTGCTAGGCAGTTAGGGCAGTTAAAGCTATACCTGCTAGGCAGTTAAAGCTATACCTGTCTCTTATACACATCTAGATGTGTATAAGAGACAGCTGCTAGGCAGTTAGGGCAGTTAAGCTAAACCTGGTAGGCAGTTAGGGCAGTTAAAGCTATACCTGCTAGGCAGTTAGGGCAGTTAAAGCTATACCTGCTTGGCAGTTAAAGCCTGTCTCTTATACACATCTAGATGTGTATAAGAGACAGGCTATACCTGCTAGGCAGTTAGGGCAATTAAAGCTATATCTGCTAGGCCTGTCTCTTATACACATCTAGATGTGTATAAGAGACAGCAGTTAAGGCAGTTAAAGCTATACCTGCTAGGCAGTTAGGGCAGTTAAAGCTATACCTGCCAGGCAGTTAGGGCAGTTAAAGCTATACCTGCTAGGCAGTTAGGGCAGTTAAAGCTATACCTGCTAGGCAGTTAGTGCAGTGGCAATTAAAGCTATACCTGCTAGGCAGTTAGGGCAGTTAAAGCTATACCTGCTAGGCAGTAAGGGCAGTTAAAGCTATACCTGCTAGGCAATTAGGGCAGTTAAAGCTATACCTGCTAGGCAGTTAAGGCAGTTAAAGCTATACCTGCTAGGCAGTTAGGGCAGTTAAAGCTCTGTCTCTTATACACATCTTAGATGTGTATAAGAGACAGAAGCTATACCTGCTAGGCAGTTAAAGCAGTTAAAACTATACCTGCTAGGCAATTAGGGCAATTAAAGCTATACCTGCTAGGCAGTTAGGGCAGTTAAAGCTATACCTGCTAGGCAGTTAGGGCAGTTAAAGCTATACTTGCTAGGCAGTTAGGGCAGTTAAAGCTATACCTGCTAGGCAGTTAAAGCAGTTAAAGCTCTGTCTCTTATACACATCTAGATGTGTATAAGAGACAGAGTTAGGGCAGTTAAATCTATACCTGCTAGGCAGTTAGGGCAGTTAAAGCTATACCTGCTAGGCAGTTAAAGCAGTTAAAACTATACCTGCTAGGCAGTTAGGGCAGTTAAAGCTATACCTGTCTCTTATACACATCTAGATGTGTATAAGAGACAGCAGTTAAAGCTATACCTGCTAGGCAGTTAGGGCAGTTAAAACTATACCTGCTTGGCAATTAGGGCAATTAAAGCTATACCTGCTAGGCAGTTAGGGCAGTTAAAGCTATACCTGCTAGGCAGTTAGGGTAGTTAAAGCTATACCTGCTAAGCAGTTAGGGCAGTTAAAGCTATACCTGCTAGGCAGTTAGGGTAGTTAAAGCTATACCTGTTAGGCAGTTAGGGCAGTTAAAGCTACACCTGCTAGGCAGTTAGGGCAGTTAGAGCTCAAGCCTGGAAATTCTCGTGGAAGTTCGCGTTAGACTGAACTTCACACACGAGATATTGCTCGGCCTAAATGTTTGTTCTATTTTACTTCACAAGCGCTTCGTCTGGCTGGAGCTATCCTCAAATTTTGCGGTCAACCAGTCTTTGTCTATTAGTTAGTAAATTCAAATTTAAAATATTAAATGGAAGAAAGATAAAAGAAGTTATAATTTAATAAATTACATCTGTTAGCCGATATATTATGTCGTGTGCCTCACTCGTGAAGCGGATTTTCACAACAACAATTTCCAACAAGCAACAAGCTCCTGATTTTGGAGAATGTCGAAGGATTGAAAGTTATCAAATTATATCGATTATTTGCTACATTAACGGCATACAAGTTGGTCAATTATATAGGATAAATTTAGTGTAAAGGTTACTAGAAATTTCCAAAAAATTTTCATATGAGAGATAGAAAAATTTTAACAGAGATAGGTGTGTCAAAAATATTTTTTCGGGCCACTATCTGTGAATAATGAAATTGTACATGACATCAAAATGAATGCGAGCAAACAGAAAAATTTTCTTCAAGCCTAAAGAGAATCGGACGAATTCAAGTTATTTTTTACAAACAAATCAAGATGGTATCAATTGTGACCTGAAATTCAGTGGGAAAATTGGGAATCTGGTAAAAAAAGTATTGATTGCATATAAAAAATGTGTATTTTGTAGGTGGGAGTGAGATTAATATCTTATTATTTTAAATTATCACACAATATCGGATAGAACGTCGTCAATTGTGAATGTACGTAAATATTCATATAAAATTTCCATACAAAATCTTGAAATCCGACATACTAAAGCATAAGTTACGAATAAAAACAATATCCCACAATCTAATTTCACGCTACGTAATTTCAAATACAAATCTTATGATTTCAGGCATAAAGAATGGAGCCTTGCGAGCGACAGGGCAGCGTCTATCCAAGCCACTCTGGAATAGAACAACATTTCAGTGTCGTTCACAAGCCGGCGGAGATGGCGGCCATTTCGCTGCCTAACTGCATTGAAGACTGAAGGCTTGCAGAACTGAAGACCACTGGAACACGGCCA